CTGGTTCTTGCTTCAAGGGTAGGGTGCACGACCGTCATGTCCGTGTTATCCCGGACGACGTCCACCTACCTCTTCACGAATTAGGCTTTCACGAGTGCCAGTCAGTCTGTGAAGGATGACAGAAGCAAGCAGTATGAAGGCGATGCATATAAGACTAATTCCTATCTGGCTGGCGCATCACCATTTTCAGTCTCCTTTGCAAATTCCGTCTGGGACGGAGCGGCTGCAATCGCTGAGGGCAGTTTCCAGCTCCAACAGTTTGAATAGTACTTAGGGTAAACCATCCACAACAATAGGTCCCCGAATTTGAGGAGGGCCGCAGGAAGATCATCAGGTCACGCGGCTTTATTTGCGTTACGCAGTGTCATTTCACGTTGGACTTGTGAGCGAGAGGGTGGATCCAAGGGGACAGCCCACGAAGCAGGTCGATCAGTGGCCGGCGAGAAATGTAACCAATCCGACCGATGCAATTGCCTTATAAAGTGATCACCCAAACGCTCTAAGAGTTTGGATAAGCTGTGGATCGGCTGTAAAACCCTCTTCACTTATGTTTTTACTAACACCAGGTCTCCCAGTGGCCGTAAGGCATTCTCAAGGTTGATCAGTAACAGCACGCGCACTACCCAACGGTTGTTGGTGAGTGCTGCAATGCATTCTCCGCTTACCCGTGCTGTAAAATCTTAGCATTGGCGCTTTCCCATTACAGCACCTAGGGTCCTTCTTCCACCATTGCCCACTTCCTTACTGCACCATGGCACTAAGTCTCCCCCACGTACAGCAGCGGCCATGTGATACGCCATTGATACCTATCCGCATGTCAGATGGGTTTTCTATGATAACTTCTCTTTCTGAGCCGCGACCCAAGTTCACTGCATCCGCAGGCGGCTAAGCGTACGTTCCAGCAACCCCGCACCGTCAGTTACCCGTACGCCAAAAAGGTATGTCAATATTAAACACCTTAATTAATGCTGGGTCTCTCTATTTCGGGTACCTTTTGAAGTATCCACAAGCCATTTCTCAGTGTTCTTGCTTCCTAGGTAACGAGCCTTTAAGCAGCTCACCCGCGAGGTCGGGCATTTTGTGATTGGTTCAAACATCATACGTCACCGCAGCATCAACTTCTCGTGCTGCATTATAAAGCCATTTCATTTTCCCCCTATGTAGAATAAGGTCAAGGTGTATGTTTTACGCAAAGAGGCCTGCGGCACACGCCTGCCAGAGTACCATTCCCACTCACCAGATTTGAGGCATCAAGGTCAAGGAAACGGGTTGCGATAGCACAGGTTATTAACCTCTTGTGCACGTTCCACTCCTACTTGCCGCGTGCATTTTTCCCCATAGACTGTTGCGCTTTACCAATGGCATACGCCGACAGACATAAGGTTTACTACAGGAACTAATTTCAGGGCACTTATCCATGTATTGCACGTCGCGTTTCCCGGTACATGTATGGGTAACCGTAACATCAACCATCTCAATGTGGGTACCGTCCCAATAGCCACGACGCCATACACGTCAGCCGTAAGCCATTGTCACAACCATGGCGGTAACCAGCATGCCCACCTGACATCCACAAGTACCCTTCCTAAGTGCCCCTTATTACTGAGTTCAAAGGTCTGCACAAGTTCACTCCATCGGCGTGCACATCTCGTGTTCCCTATTCATGCCCCTACTATACGCCTTGCCATTCATCGCACGTTTGCCTACCTGTTAGGGATCTTTGTATTTTGTACGCCGATATGTGGTTCTTGTTTGGAGGGAAGGGTTTCACCGATGTAATGTCCCTGTAACCCACCAACATTGCTTCCGTGCCATACGCCTGGAGCGCAGCACCGCTCAGCATGCGCATACCGTGCGCTTCAATCCACGTAATACAAATTGCTCTTGTTCCCCTTTGAAGCACTGTGGACCGGCTCCATTTATGAAACCTGCACCCATCCACATGCCTCCAGGGCTGATTCATTTGGGTTTGCGCTGCATACCCGGTGTGTCGTTGTACCTGTTGGTGGTGATGCTTTGAAGGTAAGCTGTAAGTGAATGTAATTTGGTAAATCTGATTAAGTGCAAAATGAGTAACTGCGATGACAAAGGCAGCACTATGTGCATGGTTGATAAAATACAGAATAAGATGTTCAAAGTTGTCAACGAAATTTTCATAGCAGACATCTTCTATTACCGTAATGATGTGTTTATAAATGGGTAATTGGAAATGAGCATGCACTGAATAGCATTTAGTATTGGTGTTAGTGAAGAGGAATACTTACCTGTGTAAAAGCTCTGCTGGTAGGTCCATTTTGTTGCGCAGTGCTAAGCAAATATGGATAATTTGGAAGGTCTTCATATGCCCAGATACATATGTCAACTGCATATAAACAGGTATAAGCTGTTGCCGGATGCTACCATATATATATATAAGTGCGAACCTTTGTATGTATTATCATGTACCGTATTGAAATGTACGTATGTATGTATGCATGATTATATACCTATATATGATCATATATGCATAGGTATAGATATATATGCCATATATAAATGCTTCTATATAAATATATGTATGCATACATATATGTACATATATTTGTATATATATACACTTATAATTATACATAAATATATATATACATTCATATCTTAATACGTTGCATATTAAGACGGATGCGTTTACATTTATATGTATATACATATATATATATATGTGTATATACACACATTATAAAATGTTTGGCTGTTGTTTGCTATCCCCGGTGTGGCTGCGCTTGATGTGCATGTTGACAAGGTGCCTACCTGTCTATTACCCACTACCTCGTCCATACTGGCTCCAGGAGACAGTTGGTCGTTGCTGGAGGGTACGGGGTGCACGGTCCGTGTGGTCGTGTTAGGATCAAAGAGTGGTTCCATGCAATCAATGTGGAGCGAACTACGGTCCAGCCACCGCCTTGTGTGCGCTCGATTTCCCCAAATACAGCGTGCTTGTGTTTGCCTGTGAAGGAGTTTGTGCCGGCTCCGTTGATGAAACGTGGCTCCCATCCACATGCCTCCCGGTCTTATACCTTCGGGTTTACACTGGATATTGGGTGTGTGGATGGAGCTGTGGGTGGTTCAGCGCAAGCCACCTGTAAAGTCCAAAAGGAACTTCGACGTATCAACCAAACTGGATTGCTTACATGAGGACACGGTCTCTTTTCCCTGATTATCTTGCACATTTACACTGCTTTACTGTGTGTGTATTTATTTCTTACACTCCATCACTGACACATCCTTGAGGTTTCAAGGTCATTCTTATTATTATGTTACTGTGACACTGCCCCAATACTCGATCCGACCCACGCTGGACAGTTTCTGCCCACTTGCATTACGATTGCGAAACCTATTCGTAAGCCATGTACTGTATTTATTATGCCTTATAGAACCACGGTTACAGGATTATTCGTTTTATTCTTCTGCCCAGACCGTGCGTTAAGTCTAGGTTTATCTGTTCGTAGTGTCTAGTTTAGTTTCGTACGACGTACTTAGTTTAGGCCTAGTATCGTTGGTACACCACCCATGGTCCCTGTGTAAGCGCAGGCGTCCTGTGTCTGGCCACATTGACAGGCAAATCCGAAACCGGATGCCGCCAACCATACAAACACATATATTTCAGAATCAGGCATACAATTTGCCAAGTTTATATGCAGTTAACATATTTATCTGGGCATATGAAGACGTTCCACATGATATTTACTTGCCTAACACTTCGCAACAAACTACACCTACCAACACAGCGTTTGCACAAGTACATATTCCCTTTCACTAACACCAATAATAAATGCTATTCACCGCATGATCATTTCCAATTACGCGTTTACGTACACAGCATTACGCTAGTAGAAGATGCCTGTTATTCGTCATTCCTTATCAACTTTGAACATCTTATTCCGTATTTTATCAACCATGCACGTACTGATGCCTTCGTCATCTTAGTTACTCCTTTCGCACTTATTCCCATTTACCAAATTCATCGACATGCAGGTTACCTTCAAGGCATCCTCCGTAAGTTTCACACCTATTAGTTACGTATTACCGTTCATTAGGACTAAACTAAGTACATGGGTTGCCTTAGAATGCTGCATATCCTGTCCTCCGTGAGCATTATTTGTGCAACTAACATCCCGTGTAGCTTTCTCAACCTTTTCCTGGTCCATTGTAAAAAGTGATTTCCGTTTGCAATAGACGGCAAGTTGAAGTTTCAATACATGCAACATATTAAAGCATTCTCTACCCAATAATAACCCTATATTTGTTGAGCGCAAGTTCCGCACATTCGCATCCGTTGATTTTCCGCCACCATTTCGGCCTTCCTTATTTTACTCACTTTACCTTAGTCAAATGTTTATTCCTCATACCTCATGTAATACTATTAAACGGTTTATAATAATTTATGCTAGCCATCCATAGTACTCAGAAGGCAAGTTATTTACGCCATAGAACGGATGTACCAGTTGGCACCAAGGAAATTTGTATTTAACCACCATGGTGCAATCAACCTGTCCCGATAGAGCATTTTCAAAGGTTCACTATTACCAATGTGCGTTGAAACACCGGTATTCAAGCGTATTTCACTTGTAAGACAAACGTATAGCAAGAATGGGAACGAGCCACCGGACGTCGTTATCCATCTTTTTTCGGGTTTAGCCTCTGGCTATTTTTGTGGTACTTTTGTGTTCCGTAATCCGTTTTGCACCTTGTTCTAACCCGTAAATGTTTCCGTTGACTGCCCTATAGGTTACGGCTCGTCGGTTTTACACTTTGATTCTTGTTTCACACTTTAAAAACGTCTCTTCGGATACACTGAATGCCAGCGCTGGGTCTTCGGCTGCATTGCTTAATCAAACTATTGGTGTGTGCGACAGTATGAGCTACTCCAAGCCCGTGTTGGACGAGTCTGGGGCAGGCAGTGCTATGCATGTAACTGCTGATACCATGAGACTTGTACCGACTTGAGCTCAGACTTGTACGCGATGCTCTCGACTAACGATAGCATGCATGACTTATTGGCATGTGTTGATTGTTATACGCGTTGGCCACTTGCTATGTCTTTACGAGATGTTTCTGTAGAAACTGTAGCGCGAACATTCATTGAAAATTGGATTTTCGTCTTTGGCACGTCAGCCACTATTACTACTGATAGAAGGCCCCAATTCAATTCAGTCTTGTTTCGTGACTTGAACTACTTGCTCGGTTGTTCCCACTTACGGACAACCGTCTATCACCCAGCTGCAAATGGCATCTTTAAACATCTCCATCGCCAACTTAAAGCCTTAATTACTGCTTCACATTCGAACTTACAATGGTCAGAACGTCTACCGATTCTCTTGCTTGGTATTCGTGATACCATTATAGAAGACATTGGCTGTTGTCCCGCTGAGTTGCTTTTTGGCACTACTCTCAGGCTTCCCGGAGAAATGGTGCTTGACTCAAGAGTGACTGGAGAAGTTGATCCGACCTCTACGTCACACGCCTGAGGCAACACTTCAGCTCAATTCGTCCTCACGTCGAATCAGCCCTCGGGGTCAACAGGTACACCCGGATTTACGCACTTGACCCTTCCTTCTCGTGCTTGTCGATTCCATCCGTAAACGTGACACCGCCTTACCAGGGCCCCTTGAAGGTGGTTACTCGGAAGGAGTACTTCGTGCTGGATAGGAATGGATATCAGGATACTGTATATTGACCGCTTGAAGCCGGCATACATCGAGACGCGATCACTCCCAAAACCCGCGAACATTCCTATTACTGACCAGCCCACCTTCCCAAGTACGCCTCCTACTCAGCCCATGTGTTACACCTCTGTTCCCTCTTCTGCACCCCAAGCATCCCACGATACAAACTCGAAATCGCACCACCGAAACGTTCTAGACGTACATTTGTTCTCTCTTCCAGATTACGATAAATGAGACAAGTATCGTGCATTCGTCTTAGTGATTCACGCACTAGGGAAAGTTCTGTAGCGATTGTACAGTTCTATCTTTCCAGTTGTACCTTCCTATTCCAATTTCCATTAGTTATTGTACAGTTTTGTTTGAACTGCCCAAAAAGTGATAGAACACTTTTCGAGTTTCCATTCGCCTTCTGGTTTCGGTTACACGTGTTGTGCTGTCGATCCTCGGTCTGCTTGCCTCCATCGATCATCCTTTCTAAAGCGTCGAATTCTCGTGCTGACTAAAGTTTCGTCTTCCGAACCGGATTGTGCAACTAATTGACGGCCTAACGAGGATAATGCTTTACCGAAAGTCAGGTCCAACATTCTTACTTTGTAGACTTGGAGTTCTGTTATGTACTTAGGCCATTTTTATTCTGGTCTTTCCACTATAGAGCCGAAAGCCCCAACCGAGGCCAACCTCGAAGTAACGGCCTTTATTCCTCTTGACTAAGTCATCGTTTGGCCACCTCTCCTCTTCCATCTGCACCCCCGACGCTCAAGCAACGCACGTCGCGGTAGTCTTCGGACTGTCATGTGCAACAGATGGCCCAGCCATCGGAGCCTGGTGCGTGAAATAACGGTGCTGAGCGCTTCGCTTCATCTTCCTGCGCCATAAACAAGACATCAAACACGCTAATTGCTCACGTGGTGTTTCCACCAAATATGAATCTAACTGCGAATGCACCGGTGATCGAACGTAATTAGACTCTTCATGTTGGCTGATCTGATGGGCTAGGCTTCACAACCATACAGTGGGGTCGAACGTACGGCTGCATTGTACACTGCCCTTCAGGATGAGAGTGATATCGCGCCGGAGCCATAGGTGGCGAAGGTTAGCAAAAGCGCTTGGTGCTTTTGCTATACCGTTTGTGACCTTGTCTTCATTTCCAGCGGCGCTGATACAACTACCTAGGTATTTGAACTTCTGAACGACTTCTAGCTAATCTCCTCCAAACGTCAGCGCTGTCAGATGAGGGCAATATCGTCAGCATAGTGCAAGTCAAGAAGTCGTTCACCTAGGAGCAGCTCCACACTTAAGTCATGTACTGTGAATGCCATTTCCATAACTTCATCACTAGCGAAGTTGAAGTGGAAAGGTGACAGCGGTCATCCTTTTCTCACACCGTTGAAGATATTGTAGGGTGGCGACAGCTTGCCGTAAACCCTCACTCTGCCCGAGCCACGCGCTTAAAGCGCTCGCATAATATTTACATACTTCTCGGGCACACCTTTCCTGAGTACACAGTCCCAAAGGGCACATTGATCAACCGAGTCGAAGACAACTTTGATGCCCAGGAACACGACAACGGCGGGCCGCCAATATGTGTGACGTTGCTCCAACTACTGACGTAATGTGAATATGTGGGAGATGCATCCCCGACCACGACGAAACCCGGCTTGCTCTTCACAAATCTAGCTTTCACGATCGCCAGTCAGTCTGTGAAGGATTACGGAGACAAGTAATTTGGAGGCTTGGTGGGTCAGACTGATTCCTCTGTGGTTGCCGCACTCCGAACGCGAGCCTCCTTTGAACTTGGGGGTGATAACGGAGCTGCTCCAGGCAGCTGGGACACTTTCTTGCTCCCACAGTTTCACTAATAACTCTGGCCAATCATCAACAAGAGCAGGGCCTCCGAATTTAATGAGGGCTGGATGAAGATCATCTGGTCCCGTGGCTTTATTCAACTTCAACAGTGATCTCACGTTCGACTTCTGAGCGAGAGAGCGGTGAGGAATCTAACAATTCCTACCGATTAAATTGCTTTTCAAAATACTCAGCCCAGCGTTCTAAACGTTTTGACAATTTGTGGATAGGCTGTCCACTTTGGTCACGCATAGTTCCACTAACACCAGGTCTCCTGCTGCCCGTTTCCCGGATCAGGCGGAGCAATTTCCCATCGTTACCAAGGGCAGCGACCACTTCCATCTCTGACGCACGATGAAACCACTAGGATTCGTGGTCTCTCTCCAGGCTAGCACGGAGTTTTGTCCTGATATCTGTGTGTTCGCTGTGTTGTGTTCGCTTTCAGCCGGAATTTGCCAACGAACATTGATAAGTTCCAGAGACTGCGAAGAGACCCAATGTCTATTTTGGCTGGTGAATTTACCACATGATGATTTGCATGCTTCTAGTAAAGTCTGGTGAACATGCGATCAGTGAACAGTAGCATCCAAACCCCTGTCCACCCTGCTCGATAGGGCACCGTTGATTATCCTCTGCGGTGGCCAGAGCATCAGAGAACTGTTTGAAGAAAGTACATGAGCAAACGGCTTCCGTCTACCTTGGATCTCATTTTTGCGAAGTCGCACGATTTCGTGATATTACCTACGGTCGTCCTCTAGGAGCCAGTGACCATGTCTGCATATCTTTTCGATGTGCGCTCACTAAGTATCACCAAGCCACCACTGAGGCATGTCCAAATATTTGGCAGACAGACTTTAACACAAAACGAGACAGCTTCAGTTCTGCGTTGTGCGATCTCCGTGGCTGACACTTTGGAGTCAGTCTGGGAGAAATTTAAGGCATACCTCACCGAGATCTTTGATTCACACATCCCACTCATAAAGAAAAGGGAGACATGGGCGCAGCCTCCATGGATAGATTATACAGGTAAATACCTGCTCAGGAAGCGCTCTACATGCTAGCGAACTTACCAAGCGGCTTCATCAACCAGCACTTACGAAAGCCATCGTGCGATTAGGAATACATGTAAGCGACATCTTAAAACTTCTCATCTTCAGTACGAGAAGGATTTAGCTGACGCATTTGCGACAAATCCAAGGTTCTTTGCATACGTAAAGTGACAACGGTACAAACTCGCTTATACCAGCGTTACTACCAACGGACAGGACCCGTGGGCATACCGACTATGATAAGGCTTGTATACCTAGCAAACACTATACTCGGGTCTTTGCTCGTAAGACCTCCCTACCTCATGTTGAGCTGGTCCAAGGGTCCCGGAGGATTTTCGCCTAACTGAAATCAGCATAACGGAAATACGAGTACTATATTCTAAAGCTTCTGACTCTGATTCAATTCATCAAACCTGATGCATGAATTGGCCGCTGAGCTAACTGATCCTCTCACATGTATGTTTACAATACCGGTCGACAGATGTGTCTTACCTTCGTAATGGAAGGAGGTAATCATCTGTCCAATTTTTAAAGGCGGTGACAGCTCTGCCCGCGAACTACCGGTCTGTCAGCTTGACAAGCGTAGTAGTTATATTCTTCGAAAAGCTGGTCAGGGATTCGGTGGAGAATCACCTGCATAAATTTAACATCAGCGCTGCAAACACGCTCTCCGTAAGGGATTTCCGGCTCTGACCAATTTACTTGTAGGTCGTGAAAGTTGGGCTGCAACAGTAGACAGCGATCACTCTATTGACGTCATCCTCATCACCATTATATACATTAGCTGCAGGTGGAAAACACGTCAGCTATTGTGCAGCAATTACAAAGACAAGAAAAGGAAAACAAACAGTGGCACGCCGGCTGAGTCTCCAGTAACGGATGGACATCGTTCCGGAGAGCTAACAGCTGGCTGCCGTAAAAGAGTCATATTATGCCTAACGAATGAGATCGTGATTGGAGGGGGATGTTAAGCAGGAGAGGGTGGACAAAGGATATCACAACACAAACGCCATTGGGGCCGGCTCCTAGCCATATCAGCAAGTGTGTTCAACAAAACGTTTTCATCCTCCTTAGGACCCGAGCCAGGCAGTTGGGATGCACCAGCCGAGGCCAACTTCAAAGTGAGTGTTTTCATCTCTCTCGACCAAGTCATCGCTTGGCCTACCCTCCTCCTCTTCCAACCGCTCCCACAACGCGCAAACAATGCACGTCGCGGGAGTCGGTGTGCTGGCATGCGCAACACGTGGCCCAACCATCGGATCCTGGTGGTGATATAATGGTGCTGAGCGGTTCACTCGCTCTTCCTGCACCAAATACGCGACGTCGAACACGCTCATTACTCACGCGGTGCTCCCACCAGACATGAGCTAAGCTGCGAAGGCAGCGATGATCCAATGTGACGAGCCTCCTTATGTCTGTCGACCTGATGGGCCAGGTTTCACAACCATATAGGAGAGTTGAACGGTCGGCTGCGTTATAAACTTTGCCCTTCAGGGCGAGAGTAATGTCGCGTCTGCGCCACAGGTGACGAAAATTGGCAAAAGCACCTCGAGCTTTTGCTATACGGTTCGTAACCTCATCTTCAATCCCTCGGGTGCTAATATAGCTGCCCAGCTACTTGAATTCCTGAACGACTTCTAGCAGCTCACCACCAGGCGTTAGCGCAGGGTTGGGTCCCTGTCAATCTTGGAGAAGTCCTTTGTATTTCGTTGAAGCAAAGCATAACCCAAAACGATTGAGACCCAGTGCTAATCGGTCTGGTGCTGCTTGGCATGTTTGGGAGCTGTCACAGATTAGGGCAATATCTTCCGCGTACTCTAAGTAAAGAAGTCGCTCATCAGGAAGTCGTTCCACACCATCTAGGTCGTGTCCAGCGAACGCTGTTTTCATGACTTCATCAATAGCGAAGTTAAAGAGGAAAGGTGACAGCGGGCATCCTTGTCTCACCGCTGGTGATACTGAAGGGTGGCGACAGTTTGT